AGTATACATATGTGTGAGTTAGTGAGAGAGGGAGTGAAAAAAAGAGAAGTGTGTGTGAGAGAGAAAGAGAGAGTAAGCGTTAGCGAAAAAGAAAGATTAAGAGAGAGGGGGTGTGAGTGAGCGGTGGAAGGAATAAGAAATGGGTGAGGGAAAGGTAGAGAAGGAGAGGCAGGGGAGAGTGTATATGTGTGAGTGTGTGAGAAAAATCATAAAGTGAGCGGGAAAGAAAGGTGTGTGTATGAGAGAGAGGGAGAGAAGGAGGGAAAGAAGAGTAACAGACCAAATGTTTGACAGACAGTGGGAGAGGGAAGGAGACAGAATGCTGAACAGAGTGTGTGAGAGTGTGTGGGTGAGAGAGAAACAAAGAGTGTGTGTCAGAGAAAGAGAGAGAGAGAGTGATTTGCACTGTGAAAAAAGGTGTTTGAAAATACACTTCTACAGAAGCTGCACATCAGGATTCTTTTTTTAAACAGACACTCAGGCTATTTGTGTGTGTGTGTGTGTGTGTGTGTGTGTGTGTGCGTGCGTGTGCGTGCGTGTGTGTGTGTGTGTGTGATGACCTCACATATATGCCCTTTATATGCAGGAAACTGTTGTGCAGCAACACAACAGGAAGTGATCCAAACACTGAAGTGTGTTCAGATGTCATTTGTCTTGTCTTCCTTCTGTGGTGTTAAATTGACTGCAAAGACAAATCAAAGTGTTTAGGCTGAAGTTAAGTTTCTTCTCGGGTGAAAACTGAGACTGACAAAACATGTTTATGTTTTTATTTTGTGGATAATAAAAGGATTTGATTTACTGGTGAAGTCATTTAATGCTGTTTCTCTGCAAAAACAAACAATGTTTTAATGTATTTTAACTTGGTTACCACAAGAAAATGTAAAACATTACTGGTTTTAAAACACTAAAAATACTGTACTATTTTTCAGTCACTTGACTCTTTGAATCACTGCTAGTAGAAAAACACAATACTGTCAAGTTAGACAGTCAACAGTTTGTCAACACTGGACAAAGTAAAAGAGTTGATTTAAACATAACCTTTATTTTGATTTGATCTGTCAGAACTCAGTTCTGCCCGGGCGCCCAGCGGACACACGTGACTTAAAGGCACAAGAGGGGGAGGAGGATCTGACACCTGAGGAAAGGAGGGTTCTGGAGAGGAAGATGAAGAAGATCCTGAAAAAGGAGGAGAAGAAGAGACTGAAAGCTGAGGGAGAGACGTTGGAACGGACAGAAGTTGCTGGACCAACTGCATCCCAGCAGGCTTTGGATTATCTACAGTGGTGAGAGTGTAGATATACTACATCCCTTTAGCTAGCTGCTACCTACTATCACTTTGGCTAACCTTTAGCTGTTTCTCAGCCTACTTTGATGTACTCTTGCTTCTTTTGGCTGCTTAATGCCTTTTTGGTTTACTGTCATTTAAAAGTTTACTAAATTTGTGTTCCATTTCTTTATATTACTCACACGTGTTCTTGTGTTTTACAGCTGGTCTGAGCAGCGAGCGCAGTGGAAGTTCCAGAAGACGAGGCAGACGTGGTTACTACAGCACATGTTCGACCCTGAGAAGGTAAAAAAAAAAAAAAAAGAATCAGCAGTTTATTGTTCTAGACAGAGACATTGTGCTTAGCTTGAGTACAAACATCTAAGTTTCATCTTTGTGCTGTTAATTTTGGAAAGTTGCAGAAAGGGTTGTTTGCAGATTGGGTTTTCCAAATGTGTAACAAAAAAAAATCCTTTTAAGTTATATACATATTTTTAATATTTTTTTTAATATATATTTTATTTTTTTATTTTTTTATTGTTACATATTAGAAATGTAAGACTTATTAAGACATTGTAATTAATTTTACAGTACACACCATTCATACAGTTTTTAACATTGTCCTTTGTTCAATTCCTCTGTGTGGTTACTGACAAAAGATAAAACAAAACACGTTTTTACTATATAATTATACTTTCAGATTCCAGATAAAAAGTTCTCAGTGTTGTTATCGTACCTGGAGGGTCTACGTGGAGCAGCGAAGGACACTTCAGTGCAGAAGGCTTTAGCAGTGGTTGAGGAGTCAGGAGAAGCCCCGGATGACGCGCTCTTCCAGCAGAGGGCGCACAGAGCCAAAGAAGTCATCCAGTTGCTGTCATGACTCTGACTTCATTGTTACAGCAGAATCACATTTACAGACGGACTGATTTCAAATCTGTGGTATTAAAAAAAAACGGCTCTCCTTTTATGTTCAACGCTTTTGGCGGTTTTCTCCACAGAAGTTTTTTTATTCATTTTTTTGAATGAATTCTTCTTCTTTTATATTCATGTTATGTACATAATGTCTTAAAAACCAGAATTTATTCTGACCACATCTGTACTTAACAAATTTAAAGAGTGATTTTCAGATAACACAGACATAGTGACGATGGAGTTCAGTCCCAGGAATGTCTGCAGTCTGGACACGTTTGAACGTGTGAAAGCCTGTCGTCAGTGAGGACACCAGGGTCGGTTTTGTTTGGATAAATATTCCAGTTTCATGTTTATTGCAAAATAAATGTAAATAATGGATTTTACACATACATCCACAATTCAGTTCATCTAAACAGCAATTCATAAATTGACCTGTGTAGGAATTTATACATAAACTTGTCTCCATCATATTTGTCTGTTGTTGTTTTTTTTCAACCAAGGACAGGAGCTCCAGAAAGGACAGAAAGGGCTGTTGTATGAGTGCGCCTGTCTTCTGGCTCACAGCATTCAAAGTCTAGATTATTGACATTTTCCATAAACTGATCTAGGAATAAATTAATGCCATAATTCATTCATTAAACCATCCTTGTTTCCCAAAGATGTTGACCTTCATATGTACCTGGAGGAGAACAATAAAATGTTCCAGTTCATTTTTTCCACACTATCACACCAAATACACTCAAAGTACCTCTTTGAGTGACAGGAGTATTGTCCAGTACTGTCTCTGATCACTTCTTGAATATTTTTCACAACACATTGAGTCCAGTGTCTCCTTTTGGATGTGTCACCCTCGCTGTAGTTTTGACTTCACCTGTGATCCAAAGAAGAACAGACACCACTTCATAACATAACAGTTGAATGAAGATGGATTGGAGAAATAGTGGTGATCACGACTTACTGGATTTAGAATCAAAAGGAATGTTGTGTTGAGTAAGAAGCGCTCGCAGTCTCGCAATCTCTTCTGACTGCTTTTGTAGGTCCTGTTAAAATATGAAATGTAGTAAGCTACGTTTTTTAATACATTAAAAGAAGCACATTTTAATCTCGGTAAGCACATACCTCGTAACATTTTTGCAATGTGCTCGGTGGAACTGAACTGGCTACAACCTCTGGCTGCTTGATCACCCTCACCTTCTGGCTCTTTAACAGACTAGCTTCTTCAAATATGTCCCTCAAGAGATTGTTGTAGCCCTGAAACATTTTAATAAGGCCTTGTTATAACATAATTAGATGAATATTTGCTACTATTTATAAAAAAATTATTAGAAATGCTTACCTGCTCAGTTAGCAGCCCCTCATAACGAGCCTGCTCTGCTTCATCCCATTCCTCCTGTAGCTTTTCAGTCAGTGTTGGGTAGACTTAAAAAAGAGGTATGCAAATATTGAAAGTACAAAAATGGACTCAGCCCCTGGTTTGTGCAGTGAGATTGTTCTTTGTTCTCACCTAGGAGAGAATGTGGATGGCAGACGAGTGGACTCTCAAAAGTGAGCGAGTACAAACAGGTGCTAGGTTCTGAGACTTGAGTCAGTTTGCTGCTTTCACCACAAACCAAAAGCACCTGGAGATGTATGACAATGAACAAGTTAGACAAGAGATTAAAATGCCTCTGTACAGGTTAAAAGAACTTCCTTCTAACTCTGTGTTGTTTTTTCGGAAAGGTGTTAATATATAATTTAAAAAACAGCCAGATCTTGCATTTAGATAAAATATCTGCATTACTCCTGGTTGTGTCCCCTTTTACATGTCTGCCAAACTTCACAATAGCCACTAATTTAAAGAAATTTAAATGCCTTTTATTTTTTTGTGAAAATTGCCAGAATTATTCTACCACACTGACCTTTGTCTCTCTGTTTTTGACTCCACATGTGTCTCCATCTCTCATCCACATTCCGGTGAAAGTATTGTTTGCTATTTCCCATTCCTGCCAAATCCTTTTTAAGGAGAACAAAGTGTTTTTTGAGGCCACACACGACTGGTTCTCTTATATTTACAACTGACGGCAGAGAACTTACCCCAGAATCCCATTGTAGGCATTCCACCTAAATGACTGTTCATGCTGAGTGATGTTGTGAAATGGACAAAATTCATATTTGTACCTGGAAATTTAGGCAAGTTCATGCAACAATTACACATCAGCCTTCTAAATATGTCATATCATAGAAACATTAAAGCTATGTTCATGGGATATATGTGAACCTTCCTACACCAACTACAGCTGAACACACCTTTACCATTGTAATATTATTACCAAGGCCTTCTATTCTTGCAGCATATTTTTATTTGTGACTCACTTTTTAGAAAAGAAACACCGATGTAAGCAATACTCACATTGACTCTATGAGAGTGAAGCACTTTCCCGCAAGCGAATGAAGATGCTCTGGACCTGAATGACAACATTGGTGTAATTTAGGGACAAATCTGTGATTGATCTGAATAAACCTCTTTCCCATTTTCCCCAATAACTAAATTCACCAGAAACTGAAGATGGGTTAACTTTGGGCTGCAGTCTGTTTCCTGGAGAGAGAATATGATTGTTTAACCTGCACACAGAGAACCTCAGTCAGCCATGAATGTATACATAAAGTGTGGGGGAAAAAACGTGGTTTGCCTATTTACCCAAACGTATTTGGCTCCTCGACTATTTTCATTTTACCAGCATATGCATAGTAAACTGTGTAGAAAACAAGCAGGTTAATGAAAACACAAAGGCTGCTGAAGAACATAGAGCGGTACATTGATATTGTCAAACTGATATAAAAGTTATGTTATGGATTAAACATAAAAGTACTTACTTGAGAACGACACAAAGACCGTTAGTCTTATTAATGTTGACTGTCTTAAACACATGAGGTTCATTGCTTCTTAATAACTAAAACCCGTCGACACTTCCGGTATAATAAGTATGATCATGTGACAAATCACGTGCTCGAATTAGAGCATGCGCGTTCGGCCTTGAAGCGCTCTGACGCACTGTCCACGCTGGGCCAGAGTAAAAGCAACGAAACGTTTGTTTTGGGTTGATACAAGTTTTAGGAAGTAAAGTAAGAAGTGTTAATAGTCACAGAACACACCAGAAGACAGACAGCCAGACATGACTGGCAGCAGTCTTCATAGGAGCGGCAACTACAACAAGGACAGAAACGTTTGTTTTGGGTTAATACAAGTTTTAGGAAGTAAAGTAAGAATGTGACAGAGAATATAGTCTTAATGTTTATACAATTTAAAAGTTAATCGGTGGCAAATATTTAATGCGAGATATTTAAGACGAACTCGCAGCTAAATAGCTAACTGGCTAAAGTCTGCACATAAACACTGGCTTTTTGCTCTTGATTTTACAACTTTTATTGTTTATTCCTTATTTACAAAATGGGGAAAAAGAAACCAGCTAAGTTTTCCCGCACGGAGAACAAGGGCAAAGACAAGAGACATAAAATGAAAGGGAAATCCTTGGAGGCTTTTACAGAGGAAATGCATACTGCTTTTGAAGGTAATGGGATGTCGAATGTTATCTTAACTACACGTAAAGTATATGTCGAAGAAGTTGGGAAGGTGTCTTTAAATGTGCTAATAAGCTAAGTTTACAGAAAATTGGTTGATCACTTGTTCAATCAAAACACAACAGGGCAACATGTTGGCATCTTGAGATATTGTTTATAGACACATCAGTGATTTTTTTTGTGTTCTGCCCCTTCGTAATTTTCAGCAAGCCTTCATTTGGAGGAAGGAGCAGAGGCCAATCCGGTGAAACTGCCATGTCCACTTGCCATGTGGGAGTTGGGTCACTGTGATCCCAAACGTTGCACTGGAAGAAAGTTGGTCCGCAAAGGCTTTGTGCGCAACTTGCGTCTCAATCAGAGGTTTAACGGACTCATACTGAGCCCAATGGGTACAAAATATGTTTCACCAGCTGACAGGTACAGTATGTTACACCTCCTGTATTATCACACAGAGTACTATAACTGTTTAAATGCATCCATACATATACATGCATGCAAGAAAATCCAACAGCAAGTCTTTTTTTCATTAATACATTTTAGGTTCAAATGACTCTGCTTGTAATGTAAAATATTTTTGCCCTTTATTCTAAGAGAAATTGTGGCTCAGTGTGGATTAGCAGTCATTGACTGTTCCTGGGCCAAACTGGAGGAGACGCCATTTAATAAGATGATTGGAGCTCATCCCAGGTTGCTGCCATACCTTGTCGCTGCAAACCCTGTTAACTATGGCAAACCTTGCAAGTTATCATGTGTTGAGGCTTTTGCTGCTACATTCTGCATCGTAGGTAAGAGAAGCTTTGCTTCATAAAGATAGGTGTACTTGTTCAATTTTGTATCCAGGTATGCAGGTGACTGTGACACTTTTCTTTAGGTTTTGAAGAACTGGCTGTGCTCTTATTGAAGAAATTTAAGTGGGGCACAGTGTTCATGGACCTTAATAAAACCCTGCTGGAGCGGTATGCAGCATGCAAGTCAGAAGAGGATCTGCTCTCTGTAGAGAAGGACTTTCTTACGTCCAAACCCGAGGAAGAGGAATTTGGTAAAATCAGGTTATCAAGATTTTAGTCACAAAAACAGAAACATATTAAACTGGCAGACAAAATTCCACATCCCTTTTGAAACTTACCACGTTAATTTAAACACGATATATCTTTGTCCTTTGTATTGCTGCCACCTACTGGATTTATTTTCTGCAAATATTTGCAAGTTTTTCCATTATTTTTAAGCATTTTGTTAGACAATTCTAACATACACTACACTACGTACACTTAAAATTAATGTAAATATATTTCTAACTTTAATTTTCTGACTTTAGTCCAATGATATTTTGAAGTTTTGTAACATCTCCAAAACATGTTTGAACAACCCAGATTCGAGAATACTGATTTGTTTCCTTTATTTAATGGAAAATTGCTCCACACAGATGTACGTAATGATTTTTATAATCATTGCAATCTTATCTATCTTTGTTCACAGATCCTTTTGATCTTGATTCAGGAGTAGAATGTAGAAATCTAAACAGACATCAGTGGTAAGTATTCAGTGCTCCTTGGGTTAATTTTGGTTATGTGTTGTCTATTTTACTAGTAACACAGTTTGTTCTATAAATCTTTAGAATGTTACTTTTACTACTAAATGTAAATCAGTTAGCTACCATCATAATGTTTACGCAAGTCTGATTACAAAAGACTAAATCAAATAGCATCCGTCTGTTTTCTCTCTGTTTAGTTTACCTGATGATGATGACGATTTGAGTGAAGAAGATGAATCAGAAGATGAACAAACTGACGATGAAGCAGAAGTTGAGAAGACAGAAAAAAGCGAGTTGAGAGCCGATTCACATTGTGCTGATGTAGAAGAGACTGAATCGAAATAATGATCACAATAAAGCTCATTTTAACAATCATCCTCCTCAAGTACTGAAAAATGTACTGAGTGAATTACGATTTTTACACAAAGTTCTTTATAAAGTTTTATCAATATTGTAAAATTTCATGAAATCTCATACGGGATAAAAACTTGATTTGTGTTTATTTTAAAATAATTAAAATAGTATTTAATGAAAAAGTTCAATGACAATGATTTCTTGTTTTTTTAACTAAAAATATTTTAATTCATAATTTTAAGAAGGGTTAGCAACTGCCTTCAAGTTTAGAAGATTAGATGATTTTAAGAAATATTATTTATTAGGTATAATAAATTGTATAATAAATTCCGATTTCAAAGTCAGAACTTCTGACTTCAAGGTCAGTAAGTATTTTTATGAAGACTTTATTTTGATTTAATGTTTTTCCCTTTAAAAAACTTCTCTTTAAATAATCTTAAACCTCTGGGCATACTTGGAATTCTCTAATTCAAGAATCAACCAGAATCCTGACTAAAAATTCCTAAAGCTGTAAGAGGTCCTTTTCCCTGCTGTATTAAGTAATTATGACACCACCACCCCTAAAAAACCCAACAATTAATTTATTTAAAATGAAATAAGTTAGAATTTTAGGATTAAACTCGAGACAAATGTCTTCAAGGTCATGAAGTATATACTCTTAGCATTTTTAATATAGAGTTTCCTGAAATATTTTTAAAAATTAGAATTAAATGTTCACATTCCGCAAACAAATACATTTTGTAATTAAGTCGTGGCTTTCACTACAATCTCGCTTTGGCATTGAAAGCCAGAATTATGACTTAAAATTCAGAATTTGGTGAAAAAGTTAGTGTTAATGTGGATTGGGGGGCGGACACAGCGGGACTCTCCTCTGCTGTCCTGCGTTCACATTGTTGTGGAACGACGTCACAGCTCGAAAATGAAGGCGCAGAGGCAGCCATTACTGGAGCTTGTCTAATTATTTTACTCCAAATAAATACTAGAGGAAAACTCCCATGGCAAGAGCTACAAGTCAGTTGGTGAGTGTTACAACTTTGAAACGAACCCCGATTCGAAGCCGGTGCTGAAAACGTCCAGTCCGGCGGCTCTTTGACAACAAATAGTTGGGCAGCTGGGCCTTGAGCCGAACAGCCGCAAACGGTGGCTCTTACGTTAGCAGCCTTAGCAGGCGACTGCTAATGTTTGCTAATAACACTGAGCGTTTGAGACGGTATTTCAGTTTGTTGGGTTGTTACTTTTAGCTAATAAGGCAAGAAAATACTTAAAGCATCTCAGCTACACTTTCTGGTACTTTTATGTAACAGTTTATACAATAAATGTAGTTATTATTTATGTAATGGTCAAGGTTAGCTCTACAGCTTCGCGCTTTTGGACGAGGGTAATGCTACCTGCTAATGCTCCACCTCTGCTTCGCGTTTTAAGGTTAACACTTCTGTAGATCGAATGTCAACGCGTTATTTCCATAATTCTAACATTTGCGATCTACACGCTGACTTCGCGAAGCTTGCATTTCATCATACGTATGCGTGGTTATGTCCACATTTCATAGGATGCTAATGTTAGCACAATTGCCTGGCAGTTAGCGTTAAGTTTGTAAGTGTCTGTCAGCGATCGCCCGGCTTTATTTGACAAGCAGCAGGAGCTAACGTTAGCCTGCTAAGGGACTTTCGTTAGCATACGAAAAGTTGATACACACAGGCCTCTTGTAACCGAAGTGCCAGTGCATAGATTTATATCAGACTGCTTTTTTTCTGTCCACAATAATATGGTTAACCCTTAGCAGTTAATCAGAAAATATCTACACAGCCAGTTATCAAGCCATTAAGTAAAACCACGGATAAGACTGCTAAATTGGCCACACCTTGGTTTTGAATGAGTAGACGCTAGGCCAAGTGAAGTAACTAGCAATAACCAAACCATAAAACAAATAAAACTGCCTCGGACGTTTAACAGACCTGCCATGTGTTTTAAATGTACAACTGACTGCGTAGCCGAACAAATCTGCAGCCGCCCATGGGGAGGTGTTGTATGTCGTGTTACAGTTAGAGAGAAATTATTAGTCACATTTCCAATTATTTTTATCCAGCATTTCAAGAACTGGAGTGAGAAGTAGTTAAAGGAGCTTGTTATGCTAAAAAGAAAACTGACAGAGGTAAAATACAATAATACAGTTTCAAGTATTATTGAAAGAAGACTTGAAAGAACTCATTAATGTATGTGGCATGAAATCATTGCAAAAATTAAAATGACAGGTTGCCCTTGTTTTGAAAAGAAAAAGAGATGCTTATATCCCAAAGAACACAATCCCACCTCTGTGGAAAAGTTTTGATGCATCTGGAATTGAAAAAATCTCATATAGCTAGGAAGCTTTATGAGATTTTGATAAGCTTATTGAATGCCATTGCTGAGAACCACCTGAAAATATTTTTTAAATGTTGACTAATAATGTTGTAGAGTTCAATTTTTATGCGAATACACTTCTTTTGTTTACTACTTTATTTTGTTCTTTCCCTTTTATTGGGCAGTCAGTGCAGTTTTTTTATTATTATTTTATTTTGAACAAGCACTATTACAGCATCACACTGACAGTTATTTTCTCAATCCTTCCTTTTCGGGTTTCAGTATGATGTTGTGCCTATTCAGCCCAGTGTTGTCATCTGTTCCTGCTCGCATCCATCAATGGTAAGAAACCACCCTGACTCCTGCTCGCCACTTGCTATCCCAGGCGCAAGCAGTAGCCACTGTCCCACCATGGAGGGATCAGCCTCGGAGGCACGTGCTGTAGGAACGTCTGCCAGCAGTCAGGTCACTGACCTCCGTGCGCAGCCAGCTGTGCAGACCCCACAGCCACGAAAGAAGAAGCCAGAGGACTTCAAATTTGGCAAGATACTGGGAGAAGGCTCCTTCTCCACGGTGTGTTTTTCACATTCCACTGCAGTTTCTGAATTATACTTGGGTAGATGTTTGTACATGTTAACATTCTTTTATTAATGTACTGGCATGAGTCATCCAAAGTTAATTTGAAGTGATATAACAAAACAGGGCCTAGGTGATTCTAGAGCTGCTGAGACTGACAAGATGTTTGTCTTATCTCAATTGTTAGGTTGTCCTAGCCAGAGAGCAGGTAACAGGGAAAGAATATGCAAGTAAGTAATGACACAAAATGTTTTGGTTAATTTAGCAACGTTTATCAAGATTAAACGAATACTTGTCTTATCATTTAGTAATATATATTTTTTTTATCTAGTTAAGATTTTAGAGAAGCGCCATATTATGAAGGAGAACAAAACCCAGTACGTGAAAAGAGAAAGAGATTTGATGTCAAATCTTGATCACCCATTTTTCGTCAAACTCTACTTCACATTTCAAGATGATGAGAAGTTGTGTATCCTTTTGACAAGTGCCATTCATAGATCTAAGTTGTATGTGTTTTAATTTTTTCTGGTCTTCAGTTTCTTCTTAATGAACACAATTTCCCTTGACTAGCTGTTTTTAGATTTTGGTCTCAGCTATGCCAAGAATGGAGAGCTCCTAAAATACATCCGCAAAATAGGTTCGTTTGATGAAACCTGTACCAGATTCTACTCGGCTGAAATAGTTTGTGCTCTAGAATATTTGCACAATAAGGGGATAATACACCGGTAAGGCTTTAGTTTTAGTTGCTGATTTATTTCCATTTCTTTTACTGTTTTTGTCATAACACCTAACTGGTTCATTGCAGAGATCTGAAACCAGAGAATATTCTTCTTAGTGAAGAAATGCACATCCAAATAACAGATTTTGGGACAGCAAAACAGTTATCTTCAGACAGTAAACAAGGTGAGGGCAGACATTCCTTTGTTTTAATTGTGAATCCTCTGATCACACAAATGTCTTTGTGTTTTATATATTTTTTATTTGTACTGTTTTGCAGCAAGGGCAAACTCCTTTGTTGGGACAGCACAGTATGTGTCTCCTGAGCTGCTAACTGAAAAATCAGCCTGCAAAAGGTATCTTAGATTTTTCTCATCTTGCAATACATATCATAATTTCTGTTCCATCCCTTTTTTTCCCTGCATAAAACAAAATTATAATTTATTTAATTTATTTTTCCTCCATTAGTTCTGACCTCTGGGCTTTGGGATGTATTATCTATCAGCTGGTGGCTGGTTTACCACCATTCAGAGCTGGGTAAGTATTAATAGTATTCAAATCACTTTTCCAGAAAAAAAAACTTAATACCTTTTGCTACTGAGACCAGCAATATTTTGGATAAGAAAAGCACACCATGACAGGCATGTCTCAGCCCGCAGTATTGCAGCAAAACAGGCTGAGGTGAAGGTGCTTTAGTTGGATATCCCTAGTCGATTGGGTGTTGGCCAATTACACCTCTGACCATATTCCAACAAAAGTTTTTTTTTAACTCTTTCTCATTAGTTATCCACATCATGCACAGTACTCTTGTCAAACATAGTCTTAAATACCTGTCTTCTTAAGAGCTGCTCCTGACTCCCCACCAACACCCACTTCCTCATTGGCTTTTAACATTATTGAGTATCATTAATGCCAACTACAGAGTTGTTTACACTGGTAGACACTCCCACCCAAGACTCAATCCCTTGCAAAGACAAGAAGTTTGATCATTTACACAATCTTTTCCTATGTCCCAAAAATAGTATCAGAAGATTCCTGATACTCTTTGTAATATTAATTTCCTCTGTGTTTGTCATTTGTAGAAATGAGTATCTTATATTCCAAAAGATAATCAAGTTGGAGTATGAATTCCCAGAGAAATTTTTTCCCAAAGCAAAGGATCTTGTAAAACAGCTTTTGGTGAGTGATTAATATTCATTACAGATATCAGAGATGTTAATGTTTTACATGGTAGGGCATGTATCTCACATTTCTCTCCCCCTTCAGTCTCTTGACCCTTCCAAGCGGATCGGCTGTGAAGAGATGGGGGGTTATGACCCTTTGAAGCAGCATCCTTTTTTTGAAACTATCTCCTGGAGCAATCTGCACCTACAGACGCCTCCCAAGCTCACCCCGTACCTGCCAGCCATGTCTGAGGATGATGAGGACTGCTATGGGAATGTAAGCTGTAATGTAGCTAATGTCAAAAATAATCTTGGATTTTTTCCTGCAATGCAATTTCTTACATGTCTTACTTCATTCTTGTCTGTTTCCAACTTTAGTACGATGATCTCCTGAGCCAGTTCAGCAACATGCAGGTGGCACAATCCACCTCGTCACATTCGTTGTCGCCACATGAATCTACGCCGCCCCAGAGGTCCAGCAGCAACATTGAACAGTACATCCACGACTTGGACAACAACTCTTTTGAGCTAGACCTCCAGTTCACTGAAGAGGAGAAACGGCTGTTGCTGGACAAACAAACCACTGGAAACCCCTGGTAAAACCCAGCTTTCCATATTTAAATCATGTGTTAGTTTATAAGACTATGCTGTATATTTAGAATTTAATACATTTCAAGTTAATTAGTGTAGCAAGAATTAATTGGATTTCCTTCCAGATTTCCAGAAACTAGACTGTAAAAAAAATAGCCTGTCAATAATCCAGTTCTGTTTGTTTTATGCAGGCACCAGTTTGTTGAAAATAATTTAATCCTAAAAATGGGACCAGTGGATAAACGAAAGGTGAGTGAAATGATAGTCTAGAACACACGTGAGGCCATATCTGGCCTGCAGTGTAATTATATTTGGCCCATAAGATCATATTAAATGTATACTGAAGTTGGCCTGCAAGTACTTAGCCCCATATAATGCCAGGATTTGTAGTATTAGTGGTGTATGTGCTCTTATAGCACATACATTTTGTTTTGTTTTTTGTTGTTTTTGGCCTGTGAAAAAAATATTTACATTAAAAAGGAACTCGAGAGGCTACAGATGAAAAGACATAAGAAATAAATACCACTGTGTTTTATTTCAAATTTAATTTCTCATGTGTTTTTAATATTAGGCTTTGGTTGTTTTATGTTTAGTGTTTACGCAAAAGTTTGTTTCCATATGAAATAATTCTACATTACATATCTCGAGAGAAGGGAAAACATTCACAATTACCGTAAAATTTTAAATAAATATTACGTTTGGCCCATGACTTCATCCCAGTCTTTAATTTTGGCCCACTGTGAATTTGAGTTTGACAACCCTGGTCTAGAAGTATTTGTTTTATCTGTCATTGTAAAAAGAAATTATCTAAACTAAATCCATTGGCTCTCTGAATAAATGTGAATTTTTTTGTGTCATATGTTGATTGGTTGTTTGAGCTTGTATGATAAGCGATAAGTCTGTTTTCATGTTTTCATTCCAATATAGCAACTGTCCTTATTGTATCTGCGAGTACCGCAGTCTATCAGTGACATAAAAGAAAAACTTTTAGGTTTAACAAGTAAATTAGTCATTCAATGCAAATTGACCTATTTTTTAAAATGCTTTAACTCTTATTTGCATTTTGTAGCTTAAGATGAGTTTGATAGTCAAGGCCTAGATCTTTACAATTTTACTTGTTAATGGTGCTGCTTCACTTTCCTGCAGCTCTTTAGTGAGTGAGTGAGCTCATCGTACCAGCATATAGGAAATAAAAGGGGATTCCCAGTCTCTGTAAAAAAAAAAAAAAAATCCTACCGGCCCAACAACCCCCTCTGTTGGTGAACTAATGTTAGAACTTTGTTGCATTCCGATGCAGGGTCTGTTTGCTCGGCGGAGACAGCTGCTTCTTACTGAAGGACCACACCTGTACTATGTGGATCCTGTAAACAAGGTCCTGAAAGGGGAGATTCCATGGTCCTCACAGCTACGCCCTGAGGCCAAGAACTTTAAAACGTTCTTTGTTCACACGGTAATTCACTTTTTTCTTTTTTCTAACAATATCTAGTTCCTGGCCTGCTTCAAAGAACTTTTCACTCCTGTTGTTAATTTTGTGTCATTTCTTTTGTTTGAATATTTGCAGCCTAACCGAACATACTATCTGATGGACCCCAGTGGAAACGCTGACAGATGGTGCAAGAAGATCCAGGAAGTGTGGAGAAAGATCTATCAAAGGCAGCAAAACCCTGGCCTATAGGAGTACATATCCTCCTGCGGCCGCTCCCCCTTAGCTCTGAGGCCAATCACTGAGCAGGGTAACACCCTCTTTAGTGCCCTCATCGCCGCAGTATAAACAAACTCTTAGAGACGCTGGCATCTAGACCTTGTTTGTTTTCCTGAGTAGAACCATGGGGAAAAATACAACTTTTGGATTCAGGGTTTGCTTTGCTTGTTCTTTGTGCTCTCTGTGAGGCTTCTATTGCTTTTTTTCCCCATGTGTGGATGATGAGACTGCCACCATGCTCATCTGCTTTTTGTACAGTCTGCAGGAGGAATAAGAAGGGCAAGTGTGTCCTGTAGTAGGGACACAGGCTTGGATACTGCTAGGACTATCTCTCAAATGCAAGGACTGGTTTCCTGCTTCATTGATACCATGACACAAATTTAGCTTTCATGAACCATAGCCTATCCTGTTATCTTAAGTAAATCATATCCTAATCTTACATCGTACATGCAAGCTATAAACATGACCCACTTCCAGTGCACAGACTTCATTGATGTCATTCTGTAAGCTGATAAAGTCTCACACCTCCCAAAATTCAAATCCTGTATCTTTTTTCTTTTGTCATTATTTTTGACATTTGTTTTGTGTAGTTTTATTTTTGTCTCTTGGTACTTGCTTTTTGCAGTCCTGTTCAGGTCTCAGAGCAGGGTACTGGTCTGCAGTGAGACTGGGAGTCTTCATACAAGTGTGAGCCTTCCATAGCTAGACAAGTATTGCTTATAAGGGGATTGGTAAACATGCCACTAGTCTGTACTTTCTAATCATTAATTGCTTATCTTTCCTGCATGGCCACTTTCGTAGATCAGCCTTGTCTGCTTCTCCCTACCAGGGCACTGGAGTTATAGTTTATTCAACTTTTGTTAACGTGGGTATTTTTGTCTGCAATAGCAACCATCACTATTGTTATTATTGGACGATTTGGCTGTCTGTACCATTCACTGGCTATTTCATTGTGGTGTGAATTTTTCAATTGCTTACTTTTTGTAATGAGATAGTCATATTTTCTTCAGTTTGTTAAGAAACGAAAAAAACAATTCTTAATTGCTGACCACCCCATGCTGAACAGGAAACATAAAATCTCTCATCAAAAGAACAATGTAGACATACTATCATTCACTGAAGCAATCACAGTAGAGCTGTTGTCCCCAGTGGCAGAACCGCCTCACTGGGCTCATTTGTCCGGCCCTTTTTTTTTTTTTTTTTTTTTTAACCCCATCCCGGCATTTGGCCCAACAGAAATGAAAAGGATTCATTTAACTTGTACTCTTGTTTTAGCAATATGTATCATCATCATGCTTTTAATTTTGACACAATACCTTAAGGTCTACCCCACGGACCTCTTTCTTCAGCTGAGTCTGTGTGCAGTGTGACTGGAGTATAGGTGAATAAGACTCTCAGGCCTTGGGGCCTGGGTGGGGCTGGATGTGGTAGGATGTCAGTGAAAGGATATCCATCTGATCCAAATAACCAACAAAATTGCTGTATCTGTCTATAAAGTCGTGAAAGCACTAGAGAAGTGTTTTCCTCTTGTTAGAAAATCTGTTTGAATCAAGTTGTTGGCAGTCGGTTACATTGTGTATGGAACACTCTACCTGGCTTGTAACTGACTAGAACTGTGATGTACAGATGATGTATTATTAAAATCTGAAGCAAGTAATGCAATGATATTAGGATACAGTTTTTGTATTTTTATTCTTGTATAAGGTTATTTGATGGCTATTGTTTAGCCTCTAGTTCATTCTGTGTTATTTAAATTCTAATATATGAATCATATTTGGATTGAAGTCATGTTCAGGGGCCATGTTGTGTATGTTTTGAGATGTAAAGCCTTTGAATGTGAATAATTATTGTAAACTATAATATTTTACAGCTTTTTTTCTTACTATATCATACATTTTCTATTTGCTCAGTGATTTAATCATATTCTGATAATTTAATGAATCCGTTCATTCTCTCTCTGATTATATGTGCGCTAGGTCAGTAGATGTTGAATGATGACATTTTCCACTTAAATGCTTGGTAGTCCAGTAATTAAAGCATGTAGGGATTTAGGCATTCAAATAAAAGCCATGTGTCCTGTCTTCTGTTACCAACCACAGTCATGACACAGTGAAAGCAGCAGCATTCATTGGCAATGGCACCTCACGTTTTTTGCAGCATGTAAATAAAGTACCGGCCCGTTAAAAGTGTCTGTTTGTTTGTCGTGGAATCAATTTTTTTAAACACGAACAGTTTTCTCTTCACGAGTCTGACATGGGCTTAGGGGTCGTAAATATATATTTATATATAAGTATATCTCCAGTCTCCTATTTAAAAAAACTTAAAAACAAAGCTCCTAGTTGGAAAAAATATGCAGTTATTCTTGTTGGTTAAATACTTCATAAGCTTATGTGTTGCAACTACCATTGAAGTATATTTAGAAATAAAGGTAATACTGCCAGAGCTGTGCTAAAGTATTTCAAGCCATCCATTGGGCTAAAAAAAAAAAAAATCCATACAAAAACTCATACAAGTTCAGAAAACTCAGGTACTGTATGTCCTCAATTCTTTAAAAAACTCAACTAAGAAAATTTGTGTCAAGTATGACCATGATGATGTTGAAGATTTTGACAAAAAAAAAAAAAGATACACACGTTTTACCTGCTGGCCTGTAACCATAGAGTGATGTTCATTTTAACCAGCTTTCAATGTGAAAACTGAATGAAGCAGAGAACATGGGGCAGCATCGAAAAGATACAGGCAATGTCTAAATGACATCACTCTGTCAGTTTATAATATCTTTAAAAGTTTAAATGTAGGTAAACTGTTGTGTTTTTGAATGTAACCAACTAGTTTATTGAGTTTTAAAACCTCATCTACTACTTTTCAGAAGATTATTTCTCTGCTTCTAAATCTCTGTATGTAATGTCCTAGATGCGAACTCTTACCGTTACTCAATGAAATACCGCTGCATGGGTGATTTTAAGAACAAAACCTGCTGCATTTATGAAGGTGTATAGGGGTTCATCATCCCAGCTTCAATATGGTTTAATGTACCATATATGAGAAGACTGAGCTCAAGTGTAACTTCGTTTTATAAATCTATAAATATGGGAGGTCCTCCTCCACCTCCTCCTTCCACTGGAATAAGTGATGTGCCTGTCAGTAGTAGTGGAGTCAGATGGTAGGAGTGGCTGAAGAGCTGGCAGTCTTGCTTTGCATGAATCTTCCAAGTTTATCGGCGGCTGCAGCAGCTCACATATTTCCTGTCAGCCGCGCAGACAGACGGATCCGGGAAAAGCAGAGGCTTGGGCGGAGGAGAAGGAGGAGAGACAGAGAGGGATGGCGGAGAATAGCTGCGAAACGAGCGGCTCCGCTGCCCGGAGATGCGTGGCCCATTTTCCCGCTGAGAGGAACCTTTCGGCCAGTGTCGGGGCGTCGAAGTGGATTCGACTGAACGTCGGTGGCACGTATTTTCTCACGACCAGACAAACGCTGTGCCGGGATCCCAAGTCATTTCTTTACAGACTGAGCCAAGCGGACCCCGAGCTCGACTCTGACAAGGTACTTGCTATGCTAACTAGCGCCGCACTTGTACTTAGTCCACCTTTTTATAAAATGTAACAGAACATGCTTTTACGTTGTCACTTTGCCATTAAGCAAACAGATGCAACGATGTCCTCTCTGTCCAATTTGTTTAATTACATGAGCACAGTTGCATTTACTTTTATATTTTAAAATTCGCAGTGTAACTCTTTTTTGTTGCTAGTTAGCTTTAGCTCCTCCGGGCTAACTAGATTCCGACAGTCAGCACATGACATTTGATCCGAGTCTGGCTCAGTATTTCTTACTCCACTCCAGTTCTTAGGTGTGTAAATAATAAAAAATGCCACGTCTCGGCGTTTCTTGAGTTTTTATTTTCGTGTGCAAACTTTAAGGAAAACACAACTATCTAAATAAGTGTACGGGCAATGATTGGGCCCCTTAGGAAAGTGGTTTTTTTTTTAGTTCTGGTATTGTTCTCAGAATTTTCAGAATAAAGCAAAACTTATTAAATAAAAGTAAAAAAACTGAATTCTATACAGAACATTCCAAGTAAAACATCAGAATTCGAATAAATAGGTCACAATGCATACTTACGTCTTAAAGTTATAGAAGATGAGTCATCCGTTGTAGAAAACTAGGTTGCTGGTTTTCACTTTAAACGTATCTTTTATGTGTGACAAAAACCTTAAAACATAATTTTGTGAGCTGTATTTTCCTATTCCTAACAGTTATTGTAAATACATGTCCTGCCTGTACTGAAAGTCTGAAAGTTTGACTGACCGAATACTGTAATATACTGTGTATTCAGAACTCCAAACATTCGAAATTGTAGTACATTTAATAATATTGAAACATCATCCCATGCAATGAGAAAATCTTTCAGTTTTGTTTGACTATTATTTGCCATAATCCAGCTCTGGCATGAAAAGCTATGTGGAATACTGACCTACTTTTCTTATAAAATAGATAATATTCAAAAACATTAAAAAAAAATCAACTGGGCTTTTGGTCCCAACTTTCATTTAATCCATAATAGCTCATATATGTATAACTAAACAGATGTAGTTAGTAGTACTTGTGCACCAACCTTTGTGCACTGATACCTCAGTTTTTGGCTTTACCACTAATTGCAGTGTTTACAAGCATTCTTCCTGTAATCAACCATGCAAGTAGCCTACACATATAAAAGTCTGTAATGCTCGATTCATTTATGTTTTCCCTCCCTCTTTTGTGGTTAACCTTTTTCTTGGCTCCGTTTGCTTCAGTTATTAGTCAGCCTCTGTACTGTCTACGTTGAGGCTCCCCTAATGAGTACGTAAGTCACTACCAAGTGAGGTACTGCTGACCACTGAAAGCTGGGGGATTGAATTTACTCATCTTCATGAATGGCCTCAATGTTCCAGAATCAGGCCTGGCTCTGTTTGTCCATCTGCCACTTTTAACAGCAGTGTGCTCACTTCAAGGTCCCCACCATTGTTAAAACCGGTTTATAATACACAGTGTAATGCACTCTGCTTCTAACTATTCATCCACTGCCAAAGTATGCATTATTTTCATGCACTTTAATATTTTAATCTTCACCGTTGAACCCCTTTATGCTAAGTTTTTCATGCACTTTAATATTTTAATATTCACCGTTGAACCCCTTTATGCTAAGTTGGAACCAGTGCTCATCCCATATTTTTATGCAAATATTTAATCTCTGAATAATCATTCAGCTCTGTTTTGTCTCTTTATCCTACCATGAGTTAACAGACCAGTCCATCTAAGCTCTCATCTTAAGTGTGCATCAGATCCTGGAGCAATTTTTTTTCAACTTTTTTTTTTTCAGCAGATGGATGTGATTATGACTAGTTCTATAAAGAAATTATTTGATATACTTATTATATTTTCCGCTTTCTTTACCCTAATACTGAAATCAATAATATTGCCATGTTATTTGCTGGACGACTCCTTCTCTGTAGTCCGGAGACCCGTCGACCAAGTTT